ACGGTTTCTAAGGGCTAGAGGAGAGTGATTGTGGGAAGAAACCCTGGGAGGGTTTAAGATAAGGAGCATGAAGAGGTGAGGAAGAGTGGAGGAGGTGGTGGTCACTGGCCCTCGAGCACGTCAGAGGCTCAGTCTGCAGGACACATCACAAACACAGGCTCAGCACTGGCACATAGTGGACGACGTGCCACAACTTTTGAGGAATGGATGATTGAATGATGAATGATGGATGGATGAGTGGATAGATGTTTATGGAATGTCTCATGGACGGTCACCACCTTCAGCCCACGAATCTGGAAACAAATCCCAGGGGAGGAGTTCGGGTCGTGGGGTGTGTGTAGACCGCAGATAGCCAGGCTGAGCCGTGTTCACCGTTTCTTTGCCCTCACATTCAGAGAGAAACGCCTGGAGAGTGGTGACCGGGTGAGGGCTGGCACCACCCTGGATGAGATCTGGCTCCACATCCTGGACCCCAAAGATTCAGACAAGGGCAAATACACTCTGGAGATAGCTGCCGGGAAGGAAGTCCGGCAGCTTTTTACTGACCTCTCGGGGCAAGGTGAGCCGCCCACCTGCCGGTCCGCAGTGAAACCTGCTAGAAAACCCCATGGTCTTTTGGGAGGACTCCCATCTCCCCACCCAGTCCTGGCATTGGCCCAAGAAAATGCTGGAATGGGAGGCAAGCATGGAGGAACAGCCAGTGCTAAGCCCCTCTGTTCCCACTTTCTCTCCTCGCAGCTTTTGAAGACGCCATGGCTGAGCACCAGAGACTGAAGTGAGTTCCCTCTGCGTTTCTCAGTGTGAATCAGTGGCCCCTCTGGGGTGTGGCATGAGCTGTGCACAGGACCCCTTCCTGGGAGCCCTGGCCAGCTCCACCATTCCCTTGTCACCCCCTTGCCCCCACCAGGGCAGGACTGTCCTTTAACAAATGGAACCCTGAGCCTTTTCCTTGTTTCTGTTTTTCAGAGCCTTGGCCATCATCGAGAAGAGTGAGTCCACCGATATTTCTGTGTTTTCGTTTCTGAGTTTCAGGTGGCTTCCCAGGAGCTCCCACCTCCTGGCAGGCTGCTGAAGTCCCAGCTCCCTTTGGGGTGTCTGTGGCTCTGGGCTGTCACGGAGCTGCCAGAGCAGTGGCAGCACAAGGACAGACAGACAAGGAGTCTGAGGATACCTGAGACCACGGATGGGAGCCGGAAGGCCGGGGACAGACAGTAATGAGGCCAGCCTTTCCCAGTGAGGTGTGGGGAGGGGACGACTTTAAAGCTGAAGCTGGTTCTGGCTGTCAGGGCTCTGGAGCTCCATCTAATCTATGGCACAGCCCCAAATCCAGAGAGAGGCTTGACCTCTGAGTAGCCGGGGCGCCACCCCTGAGTCCACACGCTCGATCTGCATCAGGTGTCCCCCGGCTGGTTCTAAACGGCCCCGTTCTAGGATCTGGCTTTCTGGTCTCACTGACCCGGCAGGTCAGAAGTGGGAATTTCCACGGGGGGAAGAATTCTCGCAGCGGAGCAAAGCAGCCCCTGACAACCTGACAGCAAGGAGGGAAACTGAACGCCTGTGAGAAACAGAGGAGAGATAAAACGCCGCTAGCCCGGGGCCGTTTGTGGGAGGGCATAATTCCCCCTACATGGCATCGCTGTTCTTGAGTGTCCACATCTGGCAGGAGGCGCAGACTTTGGCCTTCATAACTGTAATCTGGAAGGGGGCAGAGGGGGTGTAAGTGGCCCTGCATGAGAAGCCCTTGCAGGGGGGCCCCCTTGGGAGGAGGAGCGCGGCCCAGGACCGGCCTCAGCCCGTGCCCTGCGGAGGAGCCCCGCCTCACGGGGGCTCACACCACCCGTCTAATCACATCCCCAGCTAACGCCCCCTCCCGTCCTGGGATGCTATGTCCCTGGAGAGGATGCCCCTTCCAGGACCCTGACAGAGGGAAGCTGAATTCACCATGTATGGTTGCTGGGGCTTGTGGAATGAAGAGTCAAGGGGAGTGAATCATTTCGCCCGCTGTGAAGGGCCTGTGAACACTGCTGTCCGCGGCAGCCTCCATCTCTGGGGTTACCGCCTCCGAATCCAGGGTCCTGCTCTCCTTACGTCCACTGGACACACACAAGCTACTTTGAGCTCTTTGCACTTCCCAGATCCATGGTCCAAGGTCCGTGCTGCCCGCTCCTGTTCCCGCAGCCTCGACTGAAGCATAGGGAATGTACTGGCTTTCTGCTTAGGGATTTACAACCACATTCTCTTCCTGCCCACCCACAATGGCCACCAGGTCCCTTGACCAGAGTCAGTGTCCCAAAAGCTCCATCCCACTTTCCCTGCCCCCCCTCCTCGTTCACTCCCTTGGCTGGTTCATCACACCTGCCGTGTGCATTTTGCCCACTTAAGGCTCAGAGCAGTCTTACTCACCTTCTTTTCCAGTTCCCTCACTGTCCCCGCCACGTACCACCAATCATGACGATGACCTCAAGTCAATGAGAGAAACACATGGTGTCCCCTATCTTCTATTTATGACGTCAAGGAAATATAATACAAATTTAAAGATTTCCACCCAAAATGATGAAATAGAAAAAAAGAAGCATTGCTTAAAAATAAACCTCAGCTCTGTGGAAACCTGCTTCTGGGAAGCAACCTGCAGGAAAACATCATCACTTGGGGTCTCGTTTTTCCCTTCCAGATCGCGCCAAAGTGGTGAGGGGCCTGCCAGACGTGGCCACAATCATGGAAGATAAGGTACTGACTGTCCCCAGCCCCCGGCAGACGGTCCCACACTGTGTTCTGTCTGTAGCATATCCATCAAAGATCATGGATTGTAGCACCGTGGATTCCAGGGCCAGAGGGGCTGGATCCGCCAGAATCTGGCCAAGTGACCACACCTGACTGATTGCGAACAGTGTAGTATAAAGGACAGACATGGAGCCCGGTGTCAGGCCGATGGGCTTCCTGCCCCAGCTCTACCCCACCTCTCGAGGGCACCCGGGGCATCATGACTTCTGTCTGTGAACTTCAGTTTCCACAGGAGTTGAACTAGACGATCCCTAAACGCTCTTCCAGAGCTGAAATTACGCAAGTCTAGTGTTCCAGAAAATGATAGCCAACATCTTTATGGTGCTTACTTTGTGCCAGGCTTTATTCCCTGTGTGTACATCTTTTAGCTTGTTTAACCATCAGGGCAACCACATGAAATGGGGTGTTATCACTAGTCACACTTTATAGCTGAGGAAACTGAGGCCCAGAGAGGTTAAGGGACTTACCTACGGTCACACAGCTTGAAGGGGCGAGCTGAGGTTCACACTCAGACTCTGAGTGCTTGACTGTTGCACCATAGTGCTCTGCGTTAGAGCTTATTCAAGAATTTTCAAAGTCAATTCATAAATCTTTATATGAAAGCAATTTAGCTTTATTTGCATGGTAAAGTCATCATGACTTACATATGACAAAAAGCAATGAAGCAAAGTTCAGGCCATTCTGTGGCAGATAATTGCTAGAGTCATAATGGTCTGAGATTCTAACTAGTAAGAATTCCCATAGAAAAGTTGAGGATGCAGGATGTGGGGTTAAAATAAAATGTCTCTCCCTTTATGTCATCCCTTTATGGGTTACAATAAAACACGTGTGATGAGCACATCACCAGGAGCAGTTTGTCCTGGGAGCTGTCTGGGGGAGTGAAGGTGAAGGCCAAGGCTTCTTACAAGGAGGTGAGGCTGAGGGTTCCCTTCTTGTCCTTTCAGACTCTGTGCCTGACCTGCGTCATCTCAGGAGACCCCACCCCTGAAATCTCTTGGCTGAAGAATGACAAGCCTGTCACCTTCCTTGACCGCTACCACATGGAGGTGAGGGGCTCAGAGGTCACCATCACCATCGAGAAGGTCAACAGTGAGGACAGCGGACGCTATGGCGTCTTCGTCAAGAACAAGTATGGCTCCGAGACGGGCCAGGTCACCATCAGCGTGTTCAAGCACGGGGAGGAGCCCAAGGAGCTGCAGATGTGACGGGCATGTTCAGGCACAGCCTGGGGTCTAGTCTGCATGGACCAGTAGGGTCAACCAGTGGGTCGCAGCCTGGTATAGGCCACCAGGGTACAACAGGGGGGACGGGGACAGGGTGGAACCTGGGGATATGGGAGTAGGGGTGGAGTGGACACACCAAAGTAGAGAAGTAAAGACCTTGTTGGGGTCCCGAGAGACCTCTGGGATAGCAAGATCAGCACTGGACTTGGAATGGAGGACCTACGTGCCAGACTTGGTTTCACCTTTAAACCCTCCATGAACCTTGCCTTTCTCATCTATCACATGAGAATTCCTTCTCCTAGGAATCGTTTATGAAAATCCTTTATAAACCATATACCAGTGGTTCTCAATAGGAAGCAATTTTGTCCCCCAGGGGACATTTGGCAATGTCCAAATTTTGGGTTGTCACAACTGGGGGTGTCTACTGGCATCTGGTATATAGAGGCCAGGGATGCTGCTAAACACCACAGCTCCCCACCGCATAGAATTATCTGACCCCAGATGTCAGTAGTGCCGAGGTTGATGCCATAAACTGATATATCACAATATGTCTTTTTTAGGATACTTATTTTCGGTTCACTTAAGTTCAGCAAACATTCATTTGAAGTCTAGCATGTGCCAGGCTGAGGATGGCATTGGGAGCACAAAGATAAATAATATGCAGGCCCTGCCCCCAAGGAGGCCTCAGCCCAGTAGGAGAGACAGACCTGGGTGCAAATGATCCACGACAAGGCAGATGATAGGATAACAAGGCAGGTCCACATGGAGTGCCAGTAGAAGTGTCAGAGAAGGGAGGTAGATGTTTGTCCCAACTGGGGAAGGTGGGCTTTAAAACGCCTTCAAGGAACTAGCATAATTGGTGTCAGACCCTGAAAAATGAGTCCGATTTGGCGATGGTAACGGGAGGAGGAGATTTCAGGAGCAGGGTATGGTGAGGGGTGAGGAGGTGGGGTGAGGCTGCCAGGGCGGCCTTGGACGCCAGGCTGGAGAATTGGATGACCTTCAGAACCTCTTCCAGCTCGGGGCCTCTGCCTGGCGTGACCGACCCTGGTTGACCTTGCTTGATGGATCTCCATACAGAGCTGGGCATTTCACTGCCCTCCAATTTCCTTCTGTTTTAAAATAAGATGTGGAGGAGGTGGGGTTTATAAAGTTATAGATGTTTGTTGTAAAATTTTAGAAAACTCTGAAAATTCTAAAGGAGAAAATAAATACTCCCAACACGGGAAGATAGTACCCGTGTCTGATTTCTGACATGACTTCTGAACTTAAGGATAAAATGAGTCACTCCTACATCCACCGCCTACACAGGCAGCAAGGCACCCTGGGTAACTTACATCCCCAGCCGCTCGTGTTGCAGGCCACATGGTGTAGTCGGGCCAGGTGTGCAGTGAGGGCATGGGGGCCGGGGGACCTGACCGTGCCCTGACCGAGAGTGAGTATGGGGAATTGTGCAGGTGTTGGAGGCAAACACACCTGGGTTTGAAGCCACACACTCGCTGTGTGATTGCGAGCGATTCTTGTCCTTGCTCTGGGCCTCACTTTCCCATCTGTAAAAGAAGGCTGAAAGATTGTGTTTGAGGGCCATTCCAGCTGACATTGAGATTTTTATTACCTCTCAGAATTTGATTCTCCTTTGCTTTGCTTTTCTCCTGATGATGTGGTAAAGAGAAAGGCTAGACCCCAGCCTACCCTCCCACTCTCATACTTGGAATCTCAGACGAGAGAGTTGGCTTCTCTCATACGTCAATGAAAAACATCACCAATTTCAAAGAAGTCAGAAAGTGCGGTATCCGTGCACTTTCTCCTTAAAACCAGAACAGCCTCAAGCATGCTTATGTGTGCCCTTCGTGTTCACACAAGGCAGTTTCCCTTCTCCTTCACCTGATTATCACCACAACACAGGGAGGTAGGCAGAGGACGTGATGATGGCAATAAATCACGTGGGCACTACATTTAAAAGGTTATGAAGCATCAAATGGGACAGTATCATTGGCCCCATTTTTACAGATATGCAGTTGAGAACCCGAGGGTAATTGGTAGAGTCAAGACAGGACCAAGAGTCCCCAGGTCCTGGCTCAGAGGATGCTCTGCTCTGCCACACTGCCCCTGAGCACGGGGCACGGGAGCTCGGAGCCCAGAGGTGAACCACGCCTAAGTTCTCAGTAACCACTTGAGAATTGCCAAAGTAATGAGCGAGCAAATCAGCGAGTGGTTGGGCTAATGGAGGTGGCTTCTTGGCCCCATTGTCCAGAGGGTAAAATTTTCTCCACGGGAAGAGTGGGAGGGGAGTGATAACACAGCAATTTGTCGTGAACTCTTCCCTGAGAAGCATCCATCCGTCTCATTGGCCCTGATGGAGCATGGCCTGGGCGCCCCCTGTTGGTGGGGAGTGGGTTTGCACTCTAAGAAGCGGCTCAGAAGCAGTGCATTATGGGGCTAAAGATGCTGCAACTCCGTGATTTGGTGACTTGTAGTCAGCTGCGGAGCCGAAGGTCGTTCCTGCTCTGCTGCATATGGACAGTTTCTCTTTGGCCAGTCTCCCCAGATAGAGTCCCCAGGGCAGCATCCTCGAGCAGCCTTCCTTGAAGACCCTTGTTTGCTCTGCTGTCTTTTCCCTGCTCCCACCTCCCAGACGCCCCGTCTCGGCTGGTTTCTCGATTAGGGTCCTACCTAGGAGGACTGTGGACAGGGCCGATCCCAGGAATGGGGCAGTGGGGATGGACGTCCCTGAGAACTTCCATTGTTCTCTCTCTCTCAGCTCTTCCCACTTAATCCCAATGAAACCTCAAGTAGCCCACAGGTGAGAGAAAGTGGGGGGAACCTTGCTAAAGGATGTTGTGATATAATAAAAAATAAATATTTGGTCTTTCTCCCTGGTTTCTGACACACACCTCCTAAAACCCTCGGAACCTCCAGAGGGATAAGTGTCTTTTGTATGCTAATAAGATGACTGGTGACTGGGGGCTCTCAGATGGGTCCGGATGGGTGCTGGTCACCAGAAAGACCAAAACCTGATTAAAGAGTTGGAACTTTCTGTCCAGCTCCTGACCTCTGGGGAGGGGAGGGAGCTGGAGATTGAGTTAATCACCAATGGTCAATGATTTAATCAATCATGCCTAAGTGATGAAACCTCCATTAAAAACCCCTAAACAACGGAATTGGAAGGCTTCCGGGTCTGTGGACACATCGAGGCGCTGGGAGGGTGGTGCACTGAGAAGGCATGGAAGCTCCATACTTGCCCACATTCCTTGCCCTTATGTATGTCTTCACTTGGCTGTTCATTTGCATCTTTTATAATATTCTTTATAATAAACCAGTAAACGTAAGGAAGATGTTTCTCTGAGTTTTGTGAGCCATTCTAGCAAATTATCGAATCTGAGGAGAGAGTATGGGAACCCTCCATTTATAGCCAGTTGGTCAGAAGTATAGGTGGTAACCTGGGGCTTGAGACTGGTCTTGTAAGCAAGGGCAGTCTTGTGGGACTGAGCCCTTAAACCCGTGGAATCTGACACTTAATTCTAGGTAATTAGTGTCGCAATTGAATTGAACCATAGGACACCTAGTCAGCATCTGGAGATTTGGAGAACTGGTTATTGGTGTGGAAAAAACCCACACATTTGGTGTCAGAAGCGATGCGAGCCAAAACAGCTGAGTTAGGACTCAACCACCTCCCCATGGGGTCTTTTCCATGTTCATCTATTCCATATTTCCTTAGCCCAGGGTAGGTGGCAATGGCGTGCCATCATCCAATGAAGCCAGGCTCACCAGCCTGACCCCTTCACACTCTGCAGTCTGAACCACTGGCCTTGACCTTACTCTCCCCTTCCCGACCTGTTCCCAGTGGCCTCCACCCCTGACCCTGGCCTGGGCTACTCCCAGCATCATGCCTACTGGACCCTCTGGTTCTTCCTTACCTACAATTCCCACTTGCTCTTTGTGGTATTCTTCTACTGGCTCGTCCTGAGGAAGATCTCAGTTGGTCTAGCATGATCCCTGTATCCTGCGTGGGGGTACCAGGAACTCTGTCTCTCTTATCTGGTGGAGCCCATCAGCAAACACAGGACCCTGGGGACCCTCTGCAGGGTGTGCAGGTTGAAGAAAGAACAGCCAGTCAGTGGGTTCCCCCTTTGTCACACCACCTACCACCCCTCCCCCACTGCATCCTGCCACCTTTCACATACCAACCCTGGGTGCAATCCTTGGCCTACGGCATTGAGAGCAGTAAACAGGAAGGGCATAGGGAGCAGGCCCTCTGATGGGAATGATTGGCCTGTGTAATAATTAACCTCTACCCACTCAGCCTCAGCCACCGCACTAGTCAGATGCTTTCAATACCTTAAAATGCTCGAATCGCTTCAAGCAACTTGGGTGACATTTTCATGCCAAAAATAGTTTCTCCCCACTCCCCAGATGTCTCTAGCTAGAGGAAGCCAGATATTTTATTTTTGGCATTTGAGAAAAGTATAAGTCCTAAGGCCGGAGGAGTTTCAGCAAAGGAGCGCCCAGGGTTGACAGCAAAAACAAATTGCACAGCCGGCGAGAAACGTGCCCCTCCTCTCCCGGGCCTGGGCTGATTTTTCTATCATCGCTTCCTGTGCTAGCAGATCTAAAGAAAGAGAAACACACGAAAGCCTTTTCATTCCAATTATAGAAATGTTCATGGTGAAATGAGTCTTTGGGTTTGCTTTAAAATACTTTAGTTTAAAAAAAAAGTGGGAGGGAGGAAGGAAGACAAATGAAAAAGTTAGCAAAATATTGATGATGCTTGAAGCCGGGTGATGGCTACACGGGAGTTCATACCATCATTCTCTCTACTTTCATATGTGTTTGGAATTTTTTCATAATAAGAAATTTTAAAGACCCCACAGGAAACAAATCCTCGGCTGTCTTTTCATCTGGAGTCATATTAGGTATTTATCCAGCAATTAGTCAAGGATATTAGATACAAGCAAGGGAGCACAGAGTTCTTCTCTTGCAGGCAATTTATACAGCCTGTTATTTTTCAATCGCACTAATTAAAATTAATGGTCACACAGATGCACTACAAGAAATAATTATCAAGTGATGGCTGTAGTTAAAAAAAATTACACATGCAAATGATTCGTCGACTCTGCATTTGTTCAACACAACCTTTATTGAGCGTGCTATGGGGCAGGAACAGACAAAATTAAAGGCTGGTGCTATAATCTGAGATCCGGCTTTGCTGTACTCAATGTGTACTTTAACCAAGTTATTTAACCTTGGTGCGTTGCGTCTTTAGAAGGAGGATGACTGTAAGAATTAACTGAGGGGACGTTTGCCACAGTGTCTGATAGGAGAGAAACAAATGACGGATTTCCCCACTTGCTCATTCCATGCGGGGAGGGGAGAGTCACCGTCTACTGGGGAACATAGCCGGGTTAATCCAGCTCCCACAGAATTCAACCATTCTGCACATTTTTGGATGATGACGGTACAGACGCTTCCAGAGACTGGAGCCCACAACCTCACAAGGGATTTTTTAAATAGCATTTGTTGTATTTTTTCAATGAGAGAAATTACAATGCTTAGTGTAGAAAAATTGGATGAGACAGAAAAGAACCAAGAGGAAAAGTAAAAATATCCGTAAGCCCACCAACCAGAAATAAGCACAGTGGAAGACACTGTTTCTTAACTAACCTAAGAGATATTCCCACCCCTTTCCCGTTGCTGCCTCCACTCTAGAGATGGGAAAGATACTCACTTTCCCAGGCTTTCTTGTAGGCAGGGCAGCCACAGGACACGTTTCTTGTCAGAGACCTAAGCAGAAATCTGCTGGGGCACCATGGTAGACTCTTGATGTTTCTGATAAAAGGGGCAGACACTGCAGGCACCATGCTACTCCATTTCCTCCCTCCTGTCTCAAATGTGGACATGATGCCTGGAGCTGCAGCAGCCATCTTGTGACCATAAAGAAAAGAGAATCACAGAGATGCCAGCCCTGACATCACCAAGCTGCTGACGCCAGGCCCTAATACTCTCAGAAAACTTACGAGTGAAAAACAAACTCCTATATGTTTAAGGCACCCTAAGTCAAGTTTTCAGTTTCTTGGAGCTGAAAGCATTCTCAACTCACAAACCACTTTTTAACATTTTTTTGGTGTATTTCCTGCCAGCCTTAACAGAGTTGGGAAATCGGACATGTAATTTTACACTCTTGGTTTTTCACATGCCATTGAATCATAAGATTTTCTCACATCACCAAAAAGCATTCCAAACCCCCATATTCGTGTTTCTCTATCATGTAATTACATATCATTTCCGTGTTGCTAGAAATGGTTTCCAATTTTTTCACTATTGTAAATGAAACTGGGATGGACATCCTTGTATGTAAATCTTTACTCGCATCTCTGGAAAATTCTCGGGATAGATTCTAGAAGGGTCAAAGGGCATGAATTACTAGACCGAAAACAGACTAGCTACATAGCAAAAATGGAAGTCAGCAATGAGTGATGGTACCCTGGGCCTTCCCCTCAGGGACACAGGTCAGAAATTAGTTGATCGGCCAACACACATTTATTGAGTAGCTATTTCACTCCAGGCGCTATGCTAGGCATTGTCGATACAATGAAGACCAGAACAGACATGGGCTCCCACATGGGAAACGCCGTTTATCAGATGGCTACCCAGAGAATGGCGGCTGGGTTTTATTGGACTATACCCAACGGATGAAAGGGCAAGCTCACTGTAAAGTTAAAAATAAAAGCCGAGAAAAATACTTGTGATCTGTATGGAAAATATGAGGTTAATATACTTAATATAGAATTACAATCCAGTCATAGCATGAGCGGTATGCCGTCATCAAAAATGATGCTGCAAAAAAATATTTAGCGGCATGGAAAGATGTTCAGGATGGGTTTTAAAAATCAAAAGGCAGATTTCAAACAGAATATAGACTGTGATCTTATTTTATTAAAATAAAAATTGTGTGTATGTTAGTAAGCTGGAAGAATAAATATCGAAATGTTAACAGTGAATTCTCTGTGTGGTAGGATCCCAACTGATGTTTGCTTCCTTATCAATATTTTCAAAATCTCTATAATAAAATTGCGTTATATTTTAAACAGGAACAAGACTTGTTTAAAAGAAACAAGACTGTTGAATGTTCTAAAAGCTACCACACATATCTGCCCCATTTCTGCCAAACTTCCCTCTCCTTATTCTCTGTGTTCCTGGTTCCAAAACCCTATTTTGCTTTCATAAACCTTTTGTCAATGGTCCCTGGCACCCTCGCTTCATGATCTTTTGAGATCTAGTGACTTTTTAAAATTTCAGATATTGTATTTTATAGTTTTGGAATTTCCATTTGGTTCTTTTTTATAGTTTCCACTCCTCTATCAAAATTTTCTATCTTCTCCTTCATTACAAACTTATTTTCCTTTTCAGCAAAAAGCATTGCTATAATCCTTGCTTTAAAATTATGTGGTCATCCCAGGGTCAGTCTCTGTGGAGTCTCTTTTCTCTTAAAAATGGATCACATTTTCCTTCTCTTCATGTGTCAAATAATTTGGGACTGCATCGTGAAAGTTATGTTCTGGAGACTCTGGATTCTGCTATATTCCTCTAAAAAGCACTGATTCTTGTTGGTTTGTCAGGTAATTAACTTGGTCGGACTCAAAACACAACTTCATCTTTGCGCCAGCAGCTCAAACATCAGTTCATTTCTTTCGTCCTTGGCGGACCTGCTTGTAGTCTGTGCCCTATGTGTGTGACCTGGAGGCCAGCCAGGGATTTAGACAGAGTTTGTAAAGAACCTGTGGCTCCTCTTCTCTCTGACTCTCGCCTTCCCGGGATTTCCCCCTCACTTTCCAGTGGCTGTGGTTGCCCTCGACTCTGCCCTCTGGGTTTTCAGGCCACAAATACTGCAAGTTTTCTATTGGAGGGTTAGACACTCTCAAATGCTCCTGACTGCCATGGGCTGAAAGCTACGAAAAAACGAGAAACCCATCTGGTGCCATTCTCGTCTTCAAAGGGTTGACTCCCCTCCAAAATCTGCCTGCTTTTTTCATTCTCCAGTGCTTTGGGTAAATTTTGTGTGTGTGTGTGCAGAGGTTAATAGCTACCGTCTGCAGGAGGATCAGCCTAGTTGGAGCTTACCCAGGCTCGCCATAAATGGAACTCCTCATTGTGACTTACTCTCTTGGCTTCAATCTTCGGTAGCCCCTTGTAGGTGAGGAGTTTGCAGGACCAAGAAGGCACGCCACTCAGAGCAGCCGTTCCTTCTGGGAAATGCCCTGGGGCTTTCTGGCATCTGCTTTCTGACCTGTCACGCGGTTTTTAGATAGGGCTTGGGCACCCTTTGCCTTGGCACTCCAGAAACTGCTTAGCAGGTTTGACTCACACACAACTGAACAGTCAGAACTCAAGGTACATCCCTTAGAATCATCTCAGTGGTTGCAAATCATTGGGATAGGAGGATGAGTTTATTTTCAAAAGCTCTTTAAAAAAGCACTTGGAGAAGGCCCGGCCTGGGGGAGCAGCGGTTAAGTGAGCACGTTCCACTTCGGTGGCCTGGGGTTCGCTGGTTCGGATCCCAGGTGCGGACCTATGCACTGCTTGGCAAGCCATGCTGTGGTAGGCGTCCCACATAGAAAGTAGAGGAAGATGGGCATGGATGTTAGCTCAGGGCCAGTCTTCCTTAGCAAAAAGAGGAGGATTGGCAGCAGATGTTAGCTAAGGGCTAATCTTCCTAAAAAAAAAAAACACTTGGAGGAAAACAGTATTGGCCTTAGACCCAGGCAAGAGGGACTTCTTCTCTGGGTTCCATGCTTTAGTGGGCATAATGACCCTTTGCTGGCTGCACCCCTCTCCGTGGGCCAAGGAGTCCTTGGAGCCAGGGGAACATGGCCACATGAGCCTGTGAAACCTTCCTTTTCTAAATTATGCACCCAGTGCCCAGAACAGAGAATTCCCCCACCAAATGACCTCAAACTCAATTCCAGGACCTACATGGACCTCTTTCCCAGATGTGGAAGGCAGAATAATGGAAGGCCAAAGATATCCATTTAAAATAAATTTTAATAGTTGGGCAACAAAGACGTGGTCCAAATGTAAAGAAACAGATCAATATTCAGAATGAACAGGAAGCTAGAATGGATTAGGAATGTGGTGAAGATGGCATATGTCTCTTCTTGAGAAGAGTCTAGTGGTTAAGCACTTGGATACAGGAGCCTGGCCGCCCTGATGGAATCCAGCACCACCACTTAACCTCTTTGTGGTTCTGTTTCCTCATCCATAGGATGAGGATGCTGTTGTACCTTCCTCTTTGGGTAGCTGTAAGGATTAAATTAATTTTTACGTGTAAAGAACTTAGTTATGAGCTCAGCATGTGCTAATTACTCAAAAAGAGTTTAGCAATTTTTATTCGCCACTCCCAACAAGAAAATAGAAGCTCGGGAATGCCAGGGGGAGAAATGGTATGGGATAGATATAATTCAAAACTAAAACATCCTGATTTTAAACAATTGGTGGTGTTTACAAAGAAGAATCCATTTGAAATTGACTCTGGGGACACTCTCCTTTGAGCAACACTGAACTGGTAGAGAAGGAAATGCCATCCTAGGACGCGACTTGGCTCTCCTTGCGAGATGATAATATGGAAACTGTTTATCGGCGGTCAAAAGATAACTGGAAAGCTGATGGGAGAGGAAAGAGGTTTATGAAGCTAACAGGCATATAAAATATCAAAATTAGAACAGGAAGAGAGGAAAAGGAAGTTGTATAACCCACAGCAGGAAGTCAATAGAAATGTCTAAAATCGATACATTGAGAAATAACCACACAAACTATCTTTAGAGGTGTATCGACCACTACAAGAACTAAAATTGGAACCATTTAAAGCGGTAGGCTCCAGATTGCTTTTTGAGGATGGGAAGGCAACTAACAGCACTTAGTTTATTTAATATGTCTCTAATAACCAAGTCTCTGGTCCCTAAAGCAGCTTCAAGGTCAGGCTGCGTGGGTTCAAACCTCAGCTCATTTATCTTGGCCTAATCACTCAACCTCTCCAGAACTCAGTATTTTCACGTGTCACGTGGGGATAACGAACGTGCCTACCTACCCAGGCAAGCGTGAGCCTCTCCCTTATCAGAGGATTGGTTGGAGCGGGGCCTTGAGGCAATTCAGCTCCCAGCAGAGCCTCTCCCTGTCTAATCCTGAGTCAGAAATTGAAGTGAGTGTTAACATGGCAGATTACAAAAGCATGCCACTCGCCGGCCAAAGAGCCCAGATTCCCTGGCAGTGGTCACTCTCGGCAGCCGTCGGCTGGGGTGGAGCCCAGTGGGCAGAGGGCCTGGCGGCTCGGCAAGATTTGCTCCCTCTGACTTTGGCCAGATGAGCTGGCTTTCCCAACATCCTGTGACATCTTTAGTTGCTTCCCAATTGCTTTTGTACTGATTTCACAGGATACTAAAGATACTTAATAAAGTTGTCTCATTATCCATCTGGTGTTCACCACATGATAATATTCCCACATCATTTGTATTCGAGGAAAGTAAACATAACACTTTGAGTACCAGATGCTATACCAGCAAATCATTTTTATACCAACATATATATTTACATACATGTACGTATATATTTTATATATGCTGCTCAACTGATCTTTACAATTGCCCTTTGGTAGCTGTAAAGCAATTAAGGAGAAGAAGATCGAGGAGCTTAAATGATGAGCCAGAGTCTACACAGCTGGTCAACAGTTGAACCAAGATCCAAAACCCAGCCGCCAACTCTCTCTTTTTTTTTTTTTTTGAGGAAGATTAGCCCTGAGCTAACTACTGCCAGTCCTCCTCTTTTTTGCTGAGGAAGCCTGGCCCTGAGCCAACATCATGCCCATCTTCCTCTACTTTATACGTGGGACGCCTACCACAGCATGGCGTGCCAAGCAGTGCCACGTCTGCACCCAGGATCCGAACCAGCGAACCCCAGGCCGCCGAGAAGTGGAACATGTGAACTTAACTGCTGTACCACCAGGCCGGCCCCCAACTCTCTCTTTTGACACTATACCATGATGCCTATGTAACGCCTTTCACATTCTTCAATATTTCCCCTGAAAATTTGACACATTAATCATTAAGTTCAAAAAGCTAGCTGGTCCCGGACGATACAGCAACCACTAGCCACATGTGGCTGTTAAACACTTGAAATGGGGCTGGTCCAAACTGAGATGTGCTGAAGTATAAAGTAAACACCAATTTCTAAGACTTAGTACAATGAGAAGATTTATAAAATAGTTCATTAATAATTTTTATATTGATTACATGATGAAATGATAATATTTCAGATATATTAGTTTAAATAAAATATGTTATTAAAATTAATTTTGCCTGTTTCTTTTTATTTTTTTAACATAGCTGCTAGAAATTTTAAAATTCTATATATATGGCTCCTGTTCTATTTCTATTGGACAGAGCCAAGCTAGACTATTCAATGAATAGAGATATCTGTGGTTCAATGGAAAAAACACTGGTGGAGCAGTTGGGGGACCCAAGTTCAAGTCCTAGCTTTGACGTTATCTAGCTGTGGGGCCTCAAGCAAACCACTTACGTTCTCTGAGTCTCAACTTGCCCCTATAAAATGAGGGACTGGATCAGATCATTTCAATGAGCCCTTCTACTCTGTCTAGGTTTGTACCAGTAACTGCTTCAGCGCTCAGCACTCGCTTACACCTTTGTCTTGTGGAATTTTCTCAGCCAGGAGTTCTATCTGCCCCTTCCAGATCGTAACTCCTTGAGGACAAAACAGTAGTCAGTTATCTCCCCTCTGACCCCAACCCCACTCTCACCGTGCTGTAGCAAGCACACAGTCGGCACTTAAAGATAACTTGCCGGTGGTTTGATACTTGTTTAAAATCTATTATTAACAGCCCCTGCTTCCTTTTCCTTCATCTCTCCATTTCTCCCCAGGATTTCCCCCTAAAAAGATTCACAAATTATAATTCCAAGGAGTATGAAATGAGAGGGGATGTTGGCCAAAGCTTAAGCGACTTCCCAGGGACCTGATATGCAACAGGTGGAGTGAAAAGCCGAAGGGTGGGTGTCCTCTAGCCCAGGCCTTCGGATCCTGCTTGGATCATCAGAAGTAGCAGAAGAATAGAAACAAGTGGACGGCTTTCTGTTCTGGGTCTGTTTCCACCCATTTTGAATAGTCCTCCCAAGTCACATTGTCAGTTGTGAAACTAATTTGATTAAAATTAAAACCCTAGTGAATTCACTCCATGAACAGTTCCTCTAGTGTCCGCTTTTAAGACCACGTTCTGAATTCAACTAGATTTTGAATCGCCTGAGGACAGGCGCAGGGCCTTGGTCATCTTGATGTTTTGAGCCCTCGTGGCATTGGGCAAATTGGAGAACGTCAAAAAAATCTTTGCTGGCAATAGAAAGATAAATAGAAGCCAAAAAAGCATTATCAACCTCAGGAGCTTTGGGTGAAGCGTTCATTTGGAGCTAACAGACTGATTCATGAGCAGGTGCGAGGGCCCGGTGCTGCGGCATGAGCGACTGCATCGAATCCTCTCATAGCTCTGTGAGGCAGGTTGCTATTTTAATACCTTGTTCAGCTTACCTGAGAAATTCGTTCATTTCAAAAATATGTGTTGAGCTCCTACTGTGAGTCAGGCGCTATTCTAGGTGTGGCGGGGGAGGGGTCTGTATTCTAGTGGAAGGAAGATGACAAACAAGTAAACAAATAAACAATATCATCAATTCCACTCCCAGTTATATACGCAGAAAAACAGAAAACAAGGTCTCAAAAAGATACTTGTACGCCTCATAGAAACACTATTCACCAACAGCCAAAAACTAGAAGCAACCCAAATGTCCATCGACAAATGAACGGGTAAGCAAAATGGAGTATATACATACAATTAATATTACCCAGCCTGTGAGAGGAATAAAATTCTGACGTATGCTATAACATAGATGATTCTTGTAAGCCAGACACAAAAGGACAAATATTGTATGATTCTACTTATATGAGGAACCTAGAATAGGCAAATTCATGGAGACCAAAAATAGGTTAGAGGTTCCCAGGGGTCAGGAGGAGGGAATGGGAAGTTAGTGTTTATTGGGTGTGGAGTTTCTGTTTGCGATGACGAAAAAGTTCTGGAAATAGACAGTGGTGATGGTTACACAACATTGTGAATGTACAATGCCACTAAACCGTACACTTAAAAATGGTTAAAATGGTAAATTTTACATTACGTAGGTTTTACCACAGTAAAAAAGATCAGTTAAAAAACACACAACAATTTCAGAGAGTAGCATGTGAATGAGGTGAGGCGATAGACACTAAGGGTGAGGCTGGAGCTATTTTAAGTTGCATTATCAAGGCAAGTCTCTTTGAGAAGGTGACATATGAACTGAGACTTGAAAGATGAGAGAGGGCCAGCCACGTAGAGAATGTCCCCGGGGAAGGATACTGCAGGCGGGGACAGGAGCCGGGGGCTCTCTGGCAAGTGAAGGAGCCCAGCATAGCAGGGGCATTACCAAAC